GAAATTTCCCATTGATCTTCTAGATATTTCATTCACATATCTTCGAAAAATTAAAAATCAGGAAAAAAATAATTTTAAAAAAGTCTCAAAACTAATGCTTAAGCATCAATTAAATAGGTCTCTCAGATTAGGGGCTTTTGATATGTGTTTTATTACTTCTAGCATGAATTCCCTACATAACTGTGTAAAACAAATACAAAGTCCTACAAATTGTGGGGTGGCTAATGTGTATAACACTAAACAATAATGGAAACATATACAGGCAATACTATATTGATAAACACTATACGTCAATGCAAACTAATAGAAAATTTAGCTATAATGACAAATAAAAAAACACATATCATTGAAAAGTGATAAAAAAATGCTTATAAAGGGAAATTAATAAAATACTATATAAGAATACAAGACTATAAAAAACTGTATACATGTTAATGAAACACTCATAAAATAATGCAAACTGATAGAAAACTACATATGAATGCAAACAAATTAACAATTGAGAGATGTAATTTAAAGAAGCAACAAAAACTAATTTTAATAAATTGAGTTTCGGAACAGAAAAACCATACTTATTTCATTGTTTCTACGGATGTCACAAAATTTCACATAGAAAATCTCTAAATAAATTGCAATAAAAAAAAAAAGAGTTGAGGAAAAAAAAAAACATATTTCAGTAACATTAAGAACATAATGGGTAATTGATAAATTAAACTACTGAAATAACTGTTTGAACAACAAAATCCAAAACTAAGGAAAACAAATAACCAAAAATTAAGGAAAATGCTATATAAAATTAAGAAAGGAATATTGTATTTTTAGTGATTTATGACTGAAAAAAAGCAGAAATTATATTATATTTCATAATTTGTAGCAAGTATTAGAAATATTAATATTGCCCAAATTACAAATTTATTACATTGAGTCAAATATTCTTCTAAAATTTGCGACCATACATGAAATAAATTTAACTTGTTAAATAAGTAAATTTTTTAAATTACATTGTTTACTATAACATTTCTGATAGTTATTTACTGTTTAAAAAGATATGAGATTAAAATCAATTATGAGATTAAATATGAGATTAAAATCAATGATTAATCAATATATAAAAAAAATACAGTACATTTCAAAAATAATTTTTGACCGCAGTAAAAAAAAATAAATGTGCTTACCTAAAAAATACTATTAAAAAAAATTTCATTTTGGTCTTACTTTTTAATTTGATTTTGACTTATAATTAAAAAAAAAAAGGTAACCTCTCTCAAAACATATGATGCCACTACAGGATTACTTTTGCATATTTTTATCCATTCTGGTTTTTTATTAACAGCAGAAAAATGTTGTTTAAAAAAATCAACCGCCTTTTCAGACAAAGTTTAATCTCTAAACAAATGGGACATCACAAGAAGTTGACTAATAGTACCTTCATTTAATTCAGATTCCAGTATGTCACTACAATCTTCTTTAAGACCATCAACCGCATACTTATCTGCAAGCAAATACAGATTACGAACTTTATCATAACTTTTGTCACCGATTTATTTCACTGCAGTAGAGACATCTTAACAAATTATCAAAAATAGAGGCATCTACATCGGTAATCTGGATGGTTTTCGTACCTGATTCCAAGCAATCATTGTCGAACATAGCTTTAAAAACAGGAGATCTCTAAGGAATTCTATGGGTGCAGCATGCATAATAAATGAAAAAAAAATATATATATATATATATATATATAAATTTATTTACTTATTTTTCTGCAAAATGACTAACATTCTTGGTATTATTTTGGAATAGGTGATTGAAACTATCATGTTTAGCTGAAACAGCTGGCTGGGAATCCTTATAAAAGCACCCTTTTTTTCCCTGCCAAATTATATAATTTTGACAAATTAATATAATTTATAAAATAATTAATGTTTACTAAGTAAAAAACTTCAGTACTTATTTAAATTGAAATGAAATTAATTATTCAGAACTCAAATATAGAAATAACTAATACATTTTACACATAAGGAAACTACTGTTCTAACTGAGTTGATAGAACTATAATCAGTAAAAACTTGCGTTCTGAAGACCAATTTTAAAATAAGTCCGTTTTTACATTAAATGCTAAAAAAAAAATCTTTCTTCCTTAAAGTTCAATATTTTTGTTTCCAACATGAAACTTCGAATGCAAAAGGAAAGGAACAAAATCTAACTTTTAACTAGTGATGCAACGAATCTTAGTTTGGCCGGATATCCGGCCGCAGTACTTTTTTAAAATAAGTATTTACATTTAATTGGACTAGAAAAAGCTATTACTTTTCTTTCGCTTACATATTTCTTTTAAATAAATTTTCAATTAAAAGTACTTAACTTTAAATTTCTGAATATCAATAAATAACTATTATGTAAATAACACTTAGCTGAAGAATGTCATCTGCACTGAGTATTGTGGTCAGTTTAAATAAAACCACTGATAGAATATTTATTATAAGTAGGTGGCAGAAACAAACATCTGTTAAACATTCAAACTTATTTATATTAAAAATCAAATTGAAATAATGAATAAATTAATAATATATATGTTTTTAATCATCTTTTTCTGAAATAATGTTCTTGTACTTGAGTTAACTTCAGTGCAGGAGTTGAATAAATATATATTTCATGACCAGTTATTGAAAGGAAAGTATCACCACTCAACTGGTGGGAAAAAAAATCAAAATAATTTTCCCATATTATCAAAATTTGTCTATAAATATCTACCTCCTCCTGCAAGCAGTGTTTATAGTGAGAGGCTGTTCTCTGAAGCAGGCATCATTTATGAGCAAAGAGGAAACAGAATTTTGCCAAAAAGTGCTGAACAATTGCTTTTTTTTGCATCACAATTTATGGATTTTGAAAAATGATAAATTGGCTTAAAAACATTTTTTATTTCAAATCATCGTATATATTGTCACCACAGTATTAACCGTATTAATTAATAAGTACGATGATAATTACATGGATTAATATTATTTTAATGCTAGACCAATATAAATTAATTTTAAAAAGCAGTTGCATGCAATGTTTGTATTAATAAAAATGTAAAAAATAATTATAAATTGAATAAATAATATCACATATGATCTCCTATTTTGTTGGTATTTATAGAACAATTCCTCAGATCGATTATTACTTTATTCTAATATTTGAGTATAACTGCCAACCATTCAGATCTTTTCTCCATTTTTTAAATAAAGTGAAACGAGAAAAAAAATTTTATGAAATTAGTTATTTATTAGTTAATATTTATTTTATATTAATATTTATTATATTTTATTTGATAAGATTGCCAATTTCATTTTATTTTGAAAATCAAAGAGGTTGGCTATTATCCTAATTATAATACAATAAATATGTATATCTGTATAGTAAATATATTCTGTTGTAATTGTATACCATATTTTTATATACTACATACTATGTTATATTACATAACTTTCAAAATATTAACATACTTTAAGAATATTTATATCAATGGTTAGAATAATATAGCTGTTGTAGGAGTAACCAAGATAAAAACTAAACCTAATACATATTTTAAGTATAATTTCTTTATTTTATGAACACTTTAAGTATAAAAAAAATTATAATTGAAAAGAATATTGATTTCTATGTTAAAATTACATTTTCTACCATCATTGTGATGAATTATATATACATATTTCATTTTTACCTTTCTACTCAATATTTTATTTCGAGCTAAATGTTACTGCCGGATAATCATAATATCCGGCCATAACCGGATATCCGGCCTACTAGCCGGATTGATAGTGACTGCCGGATATCCGCTGCATCTCTACTTTTAACAGTAAAAATAGCTTCTTCATACATATACAGGCAAATAATGATAGATACTATACATCAATGCAAACTAACAGAAAATTTAGCTATAAAGACAAATAATAAACACATATTGAAAATTTCAAACTGATCGAAAACTACATATGAATGCAAGCAAGTTAGAATATTAACAATTGAGAGATGTAAATTAATGAAGCAATAAAAACTAATTTCAATAATTTAGTCTGAGCTTTGGAACAGAAAAACCATACTTATTTCATTGTTTCTACGGATATCACAAAATTTCACATAGATAGTTCATCAATTAAGAGGTATTATTTTACCTTTATAACATTAACCATTGTATTATTCAATAAAAAAAATATATTAAGCGTTATATAACATTGTTTAAAAAGTAATAGTTATGCAATAGAAAACAAATTAATCTAATAATTGAAAATAATGTAATAATTGAATTGAAAATGTATTCTTTTATGATACAAAATATATTTGATTCATAATAGGAGGGATAATCGACTAAATAAATTGTAATAAAAAAAAAGAGTTAAGAAAAAACCTATATTTTATTAAACATCAAGAACATAATGGGTAATTGTTAAATTAAACTACTAAAATAACTGTTTAAGCAATAAAATTCAAAACAAAGGAAAACAAATAAAACAGCTTCCAAAAATTAAGGAATATACTACTGTATTTTTGCGATTTATGATGGAAAAAAGGCAGAAATTGTACTATATTTTGCAATTTCTAGCAAAAATTAGAAATATTAATGTTGCCCTAATAAAAAAATATTATACATTTATTACACTGAATCAAATATTCTTCCAAGATTTGCGACCATACATGAAATAAATTTAATTTTGTTAAATAAAATAAGTCTATAAAAGTCTAAGTCAATAAATAAATAAAATAATCTTTTAAATTACATTATTAACATTAAAATTAACCTTGATGATAGGTACTATTTACTTTTTAAAGAATATGAGATTAAAATCGATAATTAATCAATATATGAAAAAAAACAGTACATTTCAAAAAGAATTTTTGACCATGCTAAAAAAAAAACAAAAATGCTAGTCCTAAAAATATTAATAAAAAAAACTTTTTTTTTTGAAAAACTCTCACTTTGATCTAACTTTTTTTTTTAGTTTTTACTTATCACCCAAAAATTAGGTAACCGTTCTCAAAACATCTGAGGCCATTTTGGGATGATCTTCACATATTTTGAACCATTCTGGCTTTTCACTCACTGCAGAAAAATGTTGTTTAAAAAAGTCAACCGCCTTTCCTTTCAAAGTTTCATCCATAAACAAATAAGACATCTCAAGAAGTTGACAAACAGTACCTTCATTTAATTCAGACTGCAGTATATTCCTACAATCTTCTTTAAGAGCATCAACGGCATACTTATCTGCAAGCACGTACAGATTACGAACCATATCATAACTTTTGTCCCCGATTTCACTGCAGTAGAGACATCTTAAAAAATTATCAAAAGTAGAGGCATCTACATCAGTAATTTGGATGGTTTTCGTATTGGATTCCAAGCAATCATTGTCGAACATAGCTTTAAAAATAGGAGAGTGAGTCACAAGCACTAATTTGTGGGCGAGAAGACAGACACCATCAACAGTAATAGTTACGTCAGCCATTTCTTTCGAATCGTAAAGGTTTTTAAAATCAGAGCATATATTACAACGTCTTTTACGTGGAACATTTATTGCAGGAGTGATGGTTCGTCTTTTACGTAATACAGAATCACAGAAGTACATTTTAAAGGTAAATTCTATTGCAATATAATCATGCTCACGTGAGAACCCAAGGACTTTAGTACCAATCCTCAAAGTTGCGCCTTTAATAAAAACAGAAAACAGGAAAACTCTGCCATGTTCAACACGTTTTTCCTCCCGTGAATACAAATACTCTGTTATACCCTTTCCCGTTTCTTTTATAGTATTAATAGAACAGGAATATTCAACTCTGAAGTCTTTCGGTAATGCACCATCAAATTTTAAATAGAATTTCCTTTCTTCTTTTACGAAAGCATTTCCTTCACTCTCATAAAAAACGATACAGCTTGGATTATATTTTTTCCCAAAGGGATCAAATACAGGAGGATCAATTCCCTCCAAAGGCCAAAACTTTTTATTGTACGTGTGAATCCTCGTACGTGTGGTAGTAAAATCTTCCATTTCCCATTTAAATTTATATCTAAATTTCTCGTCCATGTTTCACAAATTATCCGTCGTACGTAACAAAACGAGATTGTGTTCACCTTATACTTGTTTGCCGCCAAGGGCACTGTTGCCAGATTTAAAGATTAAAAAGTAGCGAATGTGAGCTCCAAGGCTGTTGCTTGGCTGCCCGATTTTTTAATAAATAGAGGCGTTTGATTGGTCGATAATACCATTGCTTTTATCTTATTTTTCAGGTTTACTAGAGGCACAATTTTACTAATACGCATACTCGGTTTGATAATTTATTCAAACCAATCGAAGTACTTCGTAGACAAAGAATATATAGATGCTAGTTCTAAAACGCAGTTTCCTCATATTGGATGAGGACGTCAAAATATAGGAAAAATATGACTCCCATCACCTTCTGATACAGTAAAAGCGACTACCGTCGCTCATAGAACTAAAAATTCTCAAAAATAATTTCAAGCACTGACAACAAGTATTCGCGATCGCAACACTCGAATACGCCATCTGGGGAGAGACCGGTTTCATGCCTTTAGCCCTTCTCCCTTCCCTCTCCTCCTCTTTTCAGTTGTATAGGAATGTACTACGATATTTTCCCCTTTCTTAATATTTTTCCTTTTTATTTAATAAAAACATTTTTTAAAATTTCCATGATACTTTCCTTTAGAACTATGTTTAATGTAGTTTTCAGTTCCATATAGTTTTTCAAGCTAAAAGATTTTAATCTATATGAAAATCAAGAGAGAAACTAACATACTACCTTCCTCTATGACTTTCCACACGTTAATGGGGAAAGCATGTGAAGTGTTGCCATAGGAAAAGAGTTCTGCTCTACGCCACCTGCAGCCCATTTCGATCGCCAATTGTTTTATATCACGTTGCAATAGCTTTACATTTAGCACACTATATAAAATTTTAAATGCACCAAAAGGTGAAAAATGAAAGAATAGGTGCAAAGCCATCAAACGTGACGACCAAAAAGAAGGGTAGGGGGAAATTGGGAACTATCTGAAACTTAATTATTTTATTATAAAACCATTTTACAGTACTTAGTAATATTTGAATTTTATAAGAATGTTTTTCTTTTGTTTAAGCTTATCTGAAGAAATCATTAATTATGCTGGATTAAAATGTTTATGAAATGATCTTTTTAAATAATGCCTTTTACTTATTTTATTCTTTGAAAGGATTTTATTCTTAAAGAGTACAGGTTATTCATTTTCATAAATATATTTCTTTAATTTAAACGAAGTATTTCGTTTCGTTCTGCTATAACTATTAGATTAACATATGTTTTAGATACGTTAACAAAAGAACGCATTTAAAACACACGTTCTTTTGTTTTTTACTTTATTGAAATCGAAATTTTTGAGATAAAAATAATTCATTTTTACTTTTGTGTAGTTGGGCGGAGGAAAAATGTAAACAGAATTTAAATAAAAAATGGAAGGGGCTTAAAATCTCTTGCAACACTTCTAATAACAATTAAATAAAATTTTTAAACTTCAATTAATAATAATGATAATTTTTCAATTTGCTCAGCCAGCGATCAAACCAGCGTTGAATTTTTGAAACAATTCATACTTTAATGTATGTAATTCATAAAAATAAACCAACATTAATAAAAAAAAAAAAACCAATTATAATGCTTTTCAAAGGTTATTGAAAAAATAGTACAAATTACCTATACAGCAAATTTCGTCCTAAAGACATCCCAAAACATTCCGAACACTCCTGGTTGTTGTTGTTGTTAATTTACGTCGCACTAGAGCTGCACAATGGGCTATTGGCGACGGTCTGGGAAACATACCGGAGGATGATCCGAAGACATGCCATCACAATTTTGATCCTCTGCGGAGGGGATGGCACCCCCGCTTCGGTAGCCCGACGACCTGCGCGTGAAGTCGAGCACTTTGCGGTAGCACAGTTTAACGAGGACCAATACCGCACACCCTCGGTCCCTACGCAGACTGATCCAAGTGGTCACCCACCCGCACACTGACCGCAGCCAGTGATGCTTGACTTCGGTGATCTGCTGGGAACCGTGTCTTAACGATCAGTCCACTGCGGGACCCAAACACTCCTGGAACAGTCATATCCGTAAAGTGTCAGAAGAAAGAATTTCGTAGGATGTCACAAATAGACAGCAATATAACAGGCCTTTAAAAGGAGTGTTTTAGGAGTCTTGTAGGATCATCGTTCAGCGCATGCGTGTTAACTTCAACTTTACCGTTAATGTTATTTCTTTTATCCAGGGACAAGAGCAATTCTGCTAGTGAAATCTAAATAATAAGGTATTTATAAGCTCAAATATCTTTATTAGTTTCTTTTTTGTTTATCTTTCTTTTTTTCATAATCTATTTATATAATTGATTTATAAGTGTACTTGAACCCCGTCATTATCTTTTATATCTCAATTACAATGTTTGCATGCATGTTTGCAATGTTTACATACATTACTAAAAGTTTAAATACGGGGTTTATTTAATTTTTTCATAATTATTGAGAAAGCTTTATTTTTATTATTTCGTGAGGCAAATTTTTATTTGTTCTGATAACTCATTCTTTCTATTATTTTTGTTTTCTTCCTTTAAGTTCAACTTCTTAAATGAAATATAAATTATTTCAATGTTGCTATTCATCTTCATTATTTAGTATATTGTTATTTTACCATTTTTTACAAAGTTTTGTCTATAAATTGTCTATGAATGGTGTTTTCAATATAAATGTAAACAATAACAATCTCCAACTCAATACTTGCTACTGCTTATTCTGCTAGGCTATATTTTCAAACTGATAATTTTGTTTTTAACAAAAGAAATAAATTATATAATTTTTAAGCTCAAATCTGTTGTATTTCATAAGATAGTAACGATAAGTAATTCTGGTGAGTAAGAAGTGAAAATTTGTTTTATTTCTTTAGAGATGCATTGCGAAAAAGGTGACATGGTTGCTAGATTTTGAATAACTCCCTTTTTTGGCAATCCTGATTTGGCCTCTTTCAATTTGTTTATTATTGTTTGTTCTTGTTGCAAGCTGTGCATCATCTTACGTTAGTGTTAGCACCTTTAGCATTGTAAACACAAGTAATAAGTAATCAAATACCACGTTTGCAAGAATCAC